GCGGGACCCCCCCCGGCCCGGCCGCGCCGCGGCGGCGGGTCGGCTCGCAGGCTGAGGGCTCACGGTGGGAGCCTGGCCGACCCCTGCCGGGGCGAGGGATCTTCAGGATCTGCCGCCTGGACATTTTCGCGGTTTTTCAGCTCAAGAAGGGTGGGGGGAGTTGGGTGCCGGGAGAGGAGGGGTTAAAGGAGGAAAGGAGTCCCTCTGGGGGACTTTCCCGCGCCAGCTCGAACTGCCCGAGACCTCCCGCTGTCCGACTCTTCCTTGCCTCCGTCCACCGCCCCACTCCCGACTAGAGGAGAGGGGGAAAAAGGCTTGAATGAAGCTGGTGGTGCCTCACTGACACATTAACCATCCCCGCAAAGCAGCGACTTTCGTTTCCTTTCCCAAGGGTGACTGAAACAGTTTTGTAAGAGGCAGCCCCTAAGGCTACCGAGCCCGGAGTAAGGAGCCGAGGTTGGTGTTCGTGCAGGAGGCGTGGAGGGAGGGTGTCCCCCCAGAGCGGGTCAGGTGTTGGGGAGGACGTGAGCAGAAGCAGAGCCTAGTTCCCCAGGACAGCGAGTTCATGAGGAGAGGCGTTCACAGGCATTTAATCCTTGTCTTCTCACAAGGACTAGTTTACTTGCTCCACCTGAGAGAATGAACAGCTTCACAAATGCCGGTGATGTGCGTTTGATAAAGTGATTATGTATTTGCCCAGAAGTTCATTTAACTGGAGGTCAGTGGCATTTGAGGCATGCTGCTGCGCCTTCTTCCCCCGTGCCATCGCCTTCCTGCGAGCCACAGGCGCTCCTGCCTCGCTGTGCCTGTAGCCCTTTCGGTACCGCGCATTTTTTCATGTGTGTGTTTTTGGTCCTTGTTCTGAGAAGCAAAGGAGGTGCTGCTGCCGGGTAGGAGGTGCAGCTGAGGATCAGCTGTGAACAACCAACTGTGGCATAAAGTTATGAAAAAAGTTTGAAGAGGAGGGAAGGTGAGAAAATGACATCTGCAGTAGCGTATGCTGAGAAACTGTTTGGTGTTGTCCACATGACAGTGAAAACTGTGAAGGAGTTAGTGCCCCGTGAAGATTTAAGAAGCTGAGGGCAATTGCGTCTCCCCTCCCTGCGTGCCCTGCGCTGCTCGCGGGACCAAAGTGCATCTTGTCCTCCCTCGCTGCAGCCGAACCGCTTACGAAGATACCTGTCAAGTCTTAATACGAACTTCTCATTGAGGTCTGAGTTGAGGCTGTGGCATCTAAATTCTGTCACTGGTTTGTTTATGCAGTTTAAGGGCTTCCTGGGGCATGGGCCAGGCAACGGCTGACCTTTGGTGTGATCTAGCAAGTAGTGTACAGATAGGGCTTGCAACAGTCTCCCTCCCTCTGTGTAGCGCCTGCAGTAACAGCACCTGAACACGCTGTTGCTGTACGAGTCTTAAAAAACCCTCACTTTTTTTCCTGTTAGGAGCGAAGATGAAGCTGTTTCAGCGTGGACTCTTAGCACCCTCCGTCTCTCCCCTCCTTTCATTGTCGCAGCTATTTTCTTGCATTTCTTTGCTCCGTGAAGGCTGATGTGCCTCAGTGGTTGTTTCTGCGATGGAATTTGTAATTTGTAAATGGAGAGCACACTTCAGTAGTCATCCCTGTGTAGAGTTAAAATATTCTGACACTGAACTCAGTATTTTGTCCTGCCTTTCTCTTGCTATTTCAGCAGAGTATCCAAAATGAGTTGGCCACGGTGTTGCCCCGGGAGCTGCTACTCCTTCAGCGGGGAACCTCTCTCCGTGAATGGCTTGTGTAAACAGGCAGTTTAAAACAATTCTCTGAGATTCGGTTTCCCACTTTGAAGCTCTTTCTTCAGTAGCACAGTCTAAAACAGTCTTTTTATTACTAAAGGAAGGAAAATCCAAGTTTTTTTTCCCTTGAAAGTATAGGAGGGAGAGCCTTGATTTTCCTTTCCTTCCAGACAATAGGAATTTGCCATTTCCTGGCTTCTTAGAGAGTTCTGTATTGCAAAAAGCAGCCTGCGCCAGGGCAGGGCAAGACCCCTGCACAGCGCCTCTCTAGGATCTTTCTCCAATTAACAGAGCAATGCCAGCATGTATTTCCAGGGTCAAACTGTCACATTTACATTTTCAGGGAAATTCTGAGACTTGTGATTTCCAGACCACGAAAGACGAATTTGCAAAGGCACGGCAAGGTGCGAAGCATGAGGGGCATATTTCACGGTACAACAGGGCTCTGGGTATTGCCCAATGCATTGTGTGTTCCTGGAAAGGGTCTTATGGTTGAGTATTTCCTAGAGGTTATCAGCAGCGAATATGTGGTCAGTATGGCTCAATACACCCAACATCAGAGTGCTGCAGCCCGTCTGTTATATAGTGTCCTTCCTAAAATTGTTTGCTCAGTGAGATGAGGCATTTACCAGCTCAGCACTAAACTGTAGTCTCTCCTGCTTTCCTGTGCGGGGGTGGAAGGGAGCGGAAAATCCCTCCCCAGCCTCTGCACCATTTGTGGGCAGCGGGGCTGGCGCTGGGGTATGTGGCGGGGTGAGGAAGGTCTGCGAAGAGGGGAAGGGTATGGGGCAGTGCTTTGTTTTAACACTCGCCCCTTTTGCTGCATCGATCATCGTTTCTGAGCTGGTAGAAATGGAAATTATTTGCTGAAGGGTCCGGGTGGCATGGCTGCTGTAGCTGTGCTGGTGTGGGGTGGCACAGCTGTAAAGCCCAGTGGGACAGGTCCTATTCTAACAAGTTTAGTAGGCACCCTGGGTTGTTCTCTCCTCTCATTTTCCACCCTGAAGGACATGAATCTGTCGCAGTCCAGCTACTAAACTAAGGTTGCATAAATCAGTTCCTTCATACAGTTCTGATATGTGGGGTTGGCCAGGGTGCCTTGAAAGCACGTAGGATTTGATAAATGGAAGGGAAATAAGGCAACAGGCGACACTGCCATAGGAGGAGGCAGAAGGTTCAAGAGAAGGAGTTGATGGTGAGGAAGGACTCGAGCCCTAAGAAATCCTGCTCTCATCTACAGGGATGGACTTCTGCCTGCAGGTTTTAATTGCCTGTGAGCTTTCCATCACAGCTTGGGTATGGGTGCAGGGGAGCGAAGCAGGCAGTGAGCAGGGCCAGGGGAAGTGCTAGCGTTGGCCTTGTCAGCGCTGGGTGGCTTCTCAGGTGTTCAGTATATCAGGACGGAGCTTCTCGCCAGCGTTCAGGAGCACAAACAATTTCCGTATGTGAGAGATGAGACAGCCTCCTTGTACAGTGCATATTTGCAGACGTGGAAGGCAGCTAAAATTATCATGACAGCTATTGTTTGTACATATAATTTCCCTGCTGTTCTGTTAAATTGGGTCTTCTTAAATAAGCACTTTGGAAAATCAAGCAGCCCCTCTTGTGCCATGTGAAGCACATTACATTCAAGTGACTCTCAAGACACAAAAGGTGTTTGTTTTTATTGAAGCATCCTAGATGAGAGCAGTCCCTTGGCATGCTCAGTAACCGAGGTGGTTGTGCTTTATTCGTATTCTCTATGCGTTTGGTGAAAAAAGGAAAAATTGAAGTAGCACGCATTCACGTCAGACAGGATCCCTCAGCATGATGCTGTATTTGGATGTGGAGAAAATAAAAACACATCAATGTGGTTTTTTGCTAGCTGGCTTCAGGATATTTTTTTAGATTGCATCACTTCCTAACTTGTTAAATGTGTGTGGACAAGCTTCTGATGATGACAGTGGCAGGTACGTAGTGGGAGAAGGAGCATCTTCTTAGTGTTGCTAGTTTCTTACTCATTTTGAGTGATTCCCGGTTACGCTAACACAATTGCAAGGTAGGGGTTATGGCTCCCTTGAGAAGTGGCTCTTGCAGCCTCTCTGGGTTTGCAGAAACTTCCCCCAGAGAGGCAGCCCTCTGCATAGTGAATTTTAGCATATGGACAGTAGACCATAGTCATCTTCTGTAGCCCTCTTGGGAGTAATCCGCAACTTTAAAGCACTGTAAGAGTAAGCATGGTGCAGTCTATGCCATAGTAACATGTATTATTTTCCAAACAATATTTCTGTAAGAATCGTAAGGATTCTCCCCTTCCTACCCTTTTAAAATTTTCTTTGGGTGAAGCAAAGCAATTCTGCCTGGGTGAATTACATGTTGAAATAGTGTAAAATAGGCACAGGCTACTTGTTGGCTGTATTTTTCTCTTATCTATGTTTTTGTCTCTCTTTCAGTAAAGTATGGACAACAGGAGATTTCTGGGGGTTAACAAAATACAATATTTATCCAAGAAAGTGTGTCTCTTGCATATATAGGGGAAAAATGAGGCACAGGGCACTTAATAAGTGCCTACGTGACATAACTACTTACTACAGTCAGGGCTGTAAATCTCGGTGATTGCAAATTTTATGCATTGTTATTCTTTATACTTCCAGTAAATGCATGGAGAAAACACTTCACCTTTTTTTTTGGTGCCAGCAAATATGCAGTTAGGGAAACGCTTTGTACTTAGAGGCTATACCGCATTTCGTAGCCTGTGTGGCTGCCCTTGGCACACATCAGTTTGAAAGTGAAATTGAAAGGGAAAGGAGCAGGTAATCTTATTCACAAGAATACCAGGTCTAAGCAGTTCCCAAGAATCTCAGTTTTGATTGTTTCAGCTGCCTGCGGCTGATGGGGAAGCTTGAGTGGGAACACTTGGTGTGTCTTTCATTGATTAGATTAGATTACAGGCTAATTTAGCAGTCCAGACAGTCTGTATCACCTTTCACAGATAAGAATCAGTACATCCTCTTTGCAGTAAATCTG